AATTTAACTACTAAATTTAAATTTATCAGTTAACTCAATTTCAGGCCATTTGAAATTCTAATACCTAACACGATAAAATCTGAAAGTGACATGCTTGTGGTATTCACAGATATACTAATTTTCTACAAATCAGTGTGGTAACCACTATAACAAGAGGTTTGGTAGAAAACGTATTATGGAATGAATCTGAATTTTGACTGTGAATCAAAGAAATAAATGAGGAACAATGTTTCATAGTAGTCAAAAACGCTATATTTTTTTTGACAACGCAAAATGTGAAAAAAAAGAAAATATTAATGTTCAGTAACCGAGTGAGTGCACTTGTTTTGAATTTCGTGTAAAGCTACACGAGGGCTATCTGCGCTAGCCGTCCCTAATTTAGCAATGTAAGACTAGAGGGAAGGAAGTTAGTCATCACCAACCACCACCAAGTCTTGGGCTTCTCTTTTACCAACGAATAGTGGGATTGACCGTCACATTATAACGCCCCCAAGGCTGAAAGGGCGAGCATGTTTGGTGTGACGGGGATTCGAACCCACGACCCTCAGATTGCGAGTCGAGTGCCTTAACCTCCTGGCCATCCCGGGCCAAAAAGCAAAGGATATCTGAAAAAGAGATAAATCTGGACACGATCAAAAATCTTAATTTGAATCTTCTCAAGACTGAGAGAATCAACTTCTAAGTACTTGTTCAAATAGGCTCAACTTTCCCAGAGTGCATTTGTTACCCGCGTCATTTGGCCATTTCTACTAAGAAAAAAAGACAGAATCTTCGGTATTTCTATACCTTCACACTACAGTTGTGATAAGAAAAACCACCAGTACAAGCTGGAAAGATCTAGAAAAAAACATATGGAATGATTATGGAAATATATGACTGGCTCAACCATAAGATTAGTGCAGTCTCAAACCATTTATTTGTACCATTTAGGTTAATATATGCAAAAGTGCGTGTAAGTGCAAAAAATTATAAAAAAACTCGTGAGCATACAGTTTTTGAGATCAATGGAATGCAACCAAAGTCGGTGTAAGCACATACAAAACTAATTCAAAAAGATATACAAAGTATATATCGATTTCAGAACACTCATCAGCAGACTGAATCGAAGATAATTTCCAAGTTGAGCACTGAGGCCTAGTTGTTAAAACAGCATGCCTTTACAAAGTTGAAAATGGAAGAAATTGAAAAATTTTTCTTATGTTTCAAATAGTAAAAATAAGAAGGATTTCTATCGAATGAGAAGGACAGACAAAAAAAAAAACAAAAAAACAAAACAACTATTGTTGCAGTTTGTTGACTTATACATTATCCTGAAAGTCTCAATATACATTTTTATCAGCGGAAAATAAACTCTACAATCGTTTCAAAGCTTTAAGCCTTAAGCATCTTATCAAAACTAATATTGTGTATCAAAATATAGTACAAATATAGTATGTTGACTTATACATTACTTTGAAAAGTCTCAATATTCATTATTATTAGCGGAAAAGTCCGTCAGGGCCAGGTGGTTAGGGCGCTTGACTCGGAATCTGAAGGTAGTGGGTTCAAATCCCCGTCCTACCGAACATGCTCGCCCTTTCAGCCGTGGGGGCATTATAAAGTGACGATCAGTCCCACTATTCATTGGTAAAAGAGTAGCCCAAGAGTTGGCGGTGGTTGGTGATGACTAGCTGCCTTCCCTCTAGTCCTTCACTGCTACATTAGGGACTGCTAGCACAGATAGCCCTCGTGTTACTTTGCGGGAAGTAATAAAAAAAACTTAGCGGAAAAAAGCTCTACAATAGTTTCACAGCTTTAAGCCTTAAGCATCGCATCAAACTAATATTGTGTATCAAACAGTGTACGAAAAAAAAAGATATTGGTTTTGATTTAGAACTTCCATGCTAACAAGAAAGTGAAGATTAATATAAAAAAACGAAAAGTATAGTAAACTGCGTTTATTTATTTTCATGCTGATAATAAAATTTCAAGCATAAACAAGAACTCAATTCTATTGACTAAAAAACGATGGTTTATGTAAAAGTATTCGTCAAATTATTTTTTTTTTATATTTATTTTATACACCTCACTATATTTTTCCTAGATAAAATTATACATTTGAAATTTAACCTTTTTTTTACATTTTGGAACTAAAATATTTATATTAAAACTACTTAGTGCAAACAATTTTAAACCACCTTTATTAGGACCAGAAAAATAATTATAGTATTTTAATTTAGTTGATTTTCAGATCTTATCACTTCGTGAATGTGATTTTGTGCTACTTAAATGTTTTCCCGTGCTATATAGTGTTGTATTTCAAAAACGCAATCAAGCAAATAAGTTAAATTTGGTAAATAATAAACGAAGTACAGAGAAAGACATAAAAAATAATAACACAATAAGTCCAGAATGTAGTTACTGGTTGCTTGGCATTACTTAGAATGGTTTGACAAAAAAATCCACAAATCCATGTCATATTTATGAAGGTATAGACAGCTAATTAAAAATCATGTTAAAGTTTATACTAATTATGCTAGAGATGCCATATTTGAAATCATTAAATAGAGTGTATCTGTGCTGTCTTTAGGACAGTACGATATAAACTAAAATTGTTTCGCATAAACATTTCATGATATAGTCAAAGATATCCCAATGTAAGAAAACATACACAATTTCACCCCAAAACGATAATATGGCAAACGTCTTTGGTGTTTTCTTTTTATAAGATATAACAAAAACATCTTCCTTCGCGGAATTTTAAATTCCCGACTATGACCTTATACTTTCATATATATATATATATATATATAACCTACAATTTATGTATTATACATGTAGATGTACGCGGCAACAAGTGAACACGCTAACAAAGTTCTAATATAACAATGTATAATTAGACCGTTTGTATATCTTGCAGTCAATATTACTACTAGAAAGGTTGGATGATCTATGATAGAAATCAAGGGTGGTTTAATATCTTATTTCTATTTATATGGGTTTTTAGGGACAACTATCATACCCACAACCGGCTATAGACGGTGAGTGATAGTGGGATCTGAGACGTTGTGGGTTCTAGCACCCAGATCCTAATCCACCCATTTTTCTTTCTTTCGCTTACATACTGGCTAGCTCTGCATCTGTTGTTTTCATTATGTCTGATAGACGGAATATCTCCAATGCTTTTGGGAGCTATAACCGCAGACATTTTCATTTTAAAATGAAACCTTTTGCATTTATGGTATAATTTTACATTGTTATATTAGAATTTTGTTGGCGCATACATCTACATGTACAATAAATAAATTGTAGGTTATATTATAATTTCGCCAGAGCTATACAGAGCTGAGTGATCGCCTGTATGCTTTTGATGTAATACAGTTTAGTTGAAAATTTTTATACACACACACACATATATATATATATATATGCGATGCCAAAACCACTCAGTGTCAATTATATAGCTGTAATAATAATAAAGATGTATTTGCAGTATTTGTTCTAGTGTCAGAAAATAAGGGCTCTCAATGGTATTCCATCGTTCAGCCTTTGCCAATTGTTTACGTTATCCGAATAATTTGATTTTCATACCACTACTCTTCTAAGATGTAGTCCATAAGAACCGAAGAAAAAGATTCCTGTGATACGATTATGAATGCAAACGATAAAACACAATTACAGAATTGAGGAAAACAAGACAATTGTACGTTTTACAAATACATAATTTATTACGATCAAGGTTTCGCCAGGGAAACGTACAATTGTCTTGTTTTTTTCCCCCAATTCTGTAATTATGGATTTTCACAAAGTACTAACGGTTTCAAGTATCAATTATACGAAAAAATACAAGTTAACAGAAGTTTCTAGTGGAAATATCAGTCTCACTCATCATACGCATTAAATGGTAATTTTCAGGAAAAGGGGAAATAAATCTAGCATGATTTGAAATTCTACTTAGAAGTTGCAATGTGACTAAAGAAGCCCACAATTCCAAGGTCATGTCTAAAGTCAGAAAGCTGGTAGGTTTTCTTCTTTTAATTTCCTTCGCTATAACACCGACTGAACGTAAGTTTTAAGAAAGCAAAACTGAATTGTACAAATACAGCGTTTTAGTTGTCGGCAAATATAAAATTGGAAAATGCTAATTTCTTCCAGGAACTGTTGTAAAGTGTAGTTCTTTGCCCACCAGAAACAGTGCACAGAGCTCTTCGATAAACGCCTGCAATTAATCGAAACACATATAAATCGATATTGGTATATGACTTATACGTAAGATCGATTTTTCTCGTCATTGACGTCCTTCATATTGTCCTTAGTAAACAAATTGATACGACTGGCATATAGGAAACTCATTAGATGATTATTGGGTTACATAAAATGAAGTCAAATCGCTGAACATAACAGTTAAAAAAGAAACGGATGGATTCAAAGTAAACTTAAGATCCAAACCTTCTTGTTTATTTATTGGTTATTTTCGAAACGGTGAAATGTTTCTGTTAATCTATAAGGAAATAGCTGTCATTTTTCATATTTGCACTTCCATTGAATTTTACAAAGCTAATTAATAATTAAAAAAACAGTGGCAAAATACACATTTGTTATTTGGACGTGTTGTAACGTGATTGTGATAGGTCGACAACTGAGCACTTACTTGACGCATTAACGACGCACGGATAAAAGCAAGTCTGCTCTGTCCGTTCATCACGTTGCTCTGCAGCCTGGACAGAAAATGGTATTACAGAGAAACAAGAAGATAATTTCTGTTGCCAGTTTACCATCGTCATGTTCTACTTTCAGACTCATTTGTAAATAACTTAACTCGATACCAATCACAAGAAGTAAGAAAAAAAAACAAGTGGGAAAAAGGCATATCAAAATACTTTTAAACTTTGAGTATTATGATGTAATATCAACTCATAATTGCAAAACAATATTTCGGTTTATTTCTTATCAAGTTGATCTTTGAAAACCATTTAATGACACTCTATTTAGCCAAGTTTAAACGTAGCAATCAAACAAACATGGAGCTGTTTGAAGTAAGTGATACTTTAGAATATTCTGTCATTCTAATGAACACCTCGCTATCCCAGACCGAGACCTTAGAACATGTTAATGAATCTCTTTCGTTAGAGGATATAAATAACATTTCAAACTCTTCCCATCTGACCACACAGATCAGTTTGTCAACGGCAGACATGACAAAAATGGTTTTTTACTTATTAATATTCATCTTAGCCGTACTTGGCAATGCGTTAGTCATCGTGACTCTAGCCCAGAACAAAATGATGAGAACAGTGACTAATGTCTTCTTGATGAACCTGGCTATCAGTGATCTACTTCTTGGTGTTTTCTGTATGCCTTTCACGTTAGTGGGCAGTTTGCTGAGAAACTTCATTTTTGGTGACGTCATGTGTCGTCTTATTCCATACCTTCAAGGTGTGTATGGACTTTCTTATATTTCGTGTAAAGTTATACTCAAATATTTTACATAAATAGTAGATAAATATACATATGTAAAAATGAAATCCTGTGAGTACAACTTATAATAACTTACTTTTGATGGAATTTGTTTTGTTTGTACTTCTTTAAAGAACGAAAGCAACCATATTTTATGAGTTAATGGCCCTCTCTCAATTATAACGTTCTCGGTGGCTCAACAGTAACTCCGAGGGCTTATCACGCTAAAAATTGGTCCCATACAGCGAAAGGCAGTAGGAGTTGAGGTGTTGTGGGTTCAAGACTCAACTTATAATCCTTAAATGATTATCCTTAGTTGCTGGAGAGTTTTACATCGGCATAGGGATCTTGTCTGATAGATGGAATATCCCCAACGCGTTTGGGTGCTATGATCACAGACATTATCCATTATGACACAAAGATGGCAACAAGGAATTGTAGTGGAAGAATTATTTTGAATTTTAGTCTCATTATAATGTTATTTTTGTTTTGTATTTTATATATCTATGTATATATATATTCTATACCTTTGATTTTAAAACTTCCCTGTTCTTTATCCAATTACATATACGATTTTTTATCTAATAATACACAATTAATCATAGGCATAGTTCTAAATGTTATTATTTCATTTTATAAATGAATGCAAGATATTGCTTTTGATAAATTTAATTAGAAAAGCTTACCTTTAAAATATTTGTGAAAATGTTTCTTAAAGACTTTAACACGATCTATACAAACTAGATGTCATCAAGGTTTCTATCGGTGCTCCCCAGTGTCTCAGTGGTAAGCAGGGGGGGGGGGCTTATGACATTAAAATTCACGGTTTAATTCCTGCCTTGAGCACGGCACAAATAGCAAACCTGTAGCTTTGCGCGAAGAAATGTAAACTGATATCATATAATATTTTTGCTTTGTTATCTTAAGTTCATTGCTGCGACTTAGATGAAATCGATAAAGAACTACACACACACACAATTTTTGCTGCTTTAGTAGTCGTCTTTCATCTCCTGGTGAAATAATTAAAAAAGATAAATGTTTATCATCAAAATATAATTTGTAGCATCAAACTGTAAATAGAAAAAAACACGAAATAGTAACCCCCAAATAGCTTTTTAACAGCAGAAAGAAAAGCTAAGACAATCATTATAAAATAACTAGTTGTCGTTCTGAATCAACTTTTACGTTTTCACATCTCGGATTTTCATTTTATAATAGAGCATAATAAAGTTGAAAGTACACACTGAAAACTTGTGATTCGAAGAGAATGGGTAATGAAAAACACATTAGCTAAAGCTAACGAGATCAGTTTCAACATTTTAGGGCCACAATAGTCCAGTAGAGCCAATAATAGACTGTCTCTGAATAAAAATTAGTCTATAGAGGATACGTGAAAGCGTTGTTTGTTTCTATATAAACTTTTTGTTCTGTAATAGTGGATCTAAACTTTGTCTTAATAAAGAATATGCATTATGTCGTATGCGCTAGAACACCCGTCCCACCAAACATGCTCGCCTTTTCAGCCGTGGGGGCATTATAACATGACGGTCAATCCCACTATTCGTTGGTAAAAGAGTAGCCCAAGAGTTGGCGGTGGGTGGTGATGACTAACTGCCTTCCCTCTAGTCTTACACTGCTAAATTAGGGACGGATAGCGAAGATAGCCCTCGTGTAGCCTTGCGCGAAATTCAAAAACAAACAAACTTATGGTGAGAAAAATGCAAATGAAGTACCACAGATGTAAAAAGATAACGTAAAACGCTCGTAAAATACAATACAAACGACGTTTAAAATATACGGAAATACCCTATTTGTATGTGGTTGATGTTTATTATTAAGCACAAAGCTACACAAAGGGCTATCTGTGCTCTGCCCACCACGGGTATCGAAACCTGGTTTCTAGCAGTATAAGTTTACAGACATACCACTGTGCCACTGGGGGATGGGGAGGGGACTTGTATAAGGATCCATAAAAAATTAGTGACGTTATAATAGTTCGTTTTAAAATTACTTAAATTATTGAAAACAAGTTAAGAATATTTCATGATTAGAACATTAGATTTTCTAAGGCCTGCTACAATAATTTATTTATTCATTAGAGCAAAATATTATCATTACCCACAAGCATAATGAATATCCACTATCTAACTAATACCGCAAAAATTAATTAAGTAACAAGCAATGTTTCTGGAGTAACAGATGAAATTTTAGTTTTCTAAGTTTAACTCACTGGTTTATGATTATAATTAGCTAGCTTCTTAAAATACAGATTGTTTGAAAGTGTAAGGATGATTCATTCCTTAACCCATTGAAATGAATTAATTTTTTAGAACGAACTAGTTTTTCTGTTGTTGAAAAAAAAGAGCTCTTAACTTGCAAGTATAAAATGAAGTATAAGTTTTTAACCATCTTGTGTTACATAATAGTACTTTTAAATAAATTATTTTAAGATATAATAGTTTTATTTTTCATTCAATCCTTTCCGTAGATTCACGTTGAAAGTTTCGCAAATGATTTTTTGCTAAATAATTATACCTACAATGGATATTTTCACTCAACAATTAACGGAATTAAACAATTAAACTTTTCATCTTACTGATGACGAAGGCCACGTAATTACATTATACCTCCAAGTGGCTCAGCGGTAAGCTTGAGGGTTTATAATGTTAAGATTGGAGGTTGGATCTATTCGGCAGTTAGAACGCTGATAGAGCAACTTTGTACTTAAATAAAAAACTAAAAACTACATCATCAATGATAAATATTTCACAGAATTCTTTTAATGAATTATATAAAAATAAATAGTATAAGTAATCTTGATGTGGTTCTCAACTGGAGCAGACTTTTCACTAGGTAGTCTTTCAGATGATTTATTTAACCTTCGCCAGTTTTCTCGTGGTATTCACAGTCTCTTCCTTCAGTTGGTGAAGATCTTGCCCATCTTGAACTGGTTGATATTATTCTGACTGCTCTCTTCTTCTTATATTCCTCCTGCTGTTTGCACATAGCTTAGTCCACTTTTTTGAACATGCCATGGCAAAGAGTATAGTGAGCTAAGACTGTCGTCGGCACTTATCAAAAACTCGTGCTGCTTTTGGCTTCTTTGTTGCGGAGCAAACGTCACGGCGGAAGATACAAAATTGGATATTAATACTCTGGTGTCGGATATAGTTGCTATATTTCATTCTTTCTGGGCTTTCTAATTGTTTTGCCAGTCTTTGACTTATAAATATAGTGGTCCAACTAAAGATCAGGCACTCTAAGCATACAAGATGGGTTCTACGACATTGTCTGGAATCGTGATAACTAACTTTGAAATAGGAGGCATTGATGATGATGATGACTTCTTGGGTGGCTCCTCTGACTCTAGGAACAGTTCATTGGCGATTTCTATGATATTCTGGATTTCATAGGTATCCGTTTGTAAAAGATCTTCACCCCCTTTCCGTGACTGAGAGATTGGGGTGAGCACAAGAACTTGGATACTAGAGAGTTTTCTTCCATGTCACCAAATGGGCAACCTTCACTTTCTATCTTCAAAGAGCGTAAAAGGCAGGTCAGACAATGCAATTTAACTTTTAGACAACCAAGATGAAAAACAAGAGTCAAGTGCTATTTCTATAGACTTGTGTATATAGATCTAATTGACCATAGAAAATGTCCCCCATGTACCTGTGAACATCTTTGTCCAACAAGTTTCTTATGGGACATATTATTGAGCCGCCACCTAGAAACAACCCCAGCTAATATGATTAACATCTGAATATATCCATGCTATTCATTGCTGTTTGCTGGTTATAAAACAGAGCCCAGATCCAAAGGGAAAGAAAAACTGCAAGTACACAATCCTAAAAAATAACCGCAAAGGTGCCAATTTCCAGCCTCTGACCGTGGGAGTCCATTAACATCGTACTTTCATCTGACTTTGTTCGGACATCAGCTTAAATCACAGTCCACAGTAGCAGGTGCTGTAACTGCAACTTAATTGTATGGAAAACGAAAAACTTTGATGTTGATGAAACATTTCGACCTGCTTGATTGATCATATCATTTCAAAACTACAATATTGGGTACATGAAGTAAAGTATTATCAGGATTTTTTACTTTCTGCAGACAATTTCATTCGCTGATGAATATTTGAATTCAATCCAGTTGAAAGTATTCCTCACTGACATTATTAAATACATCGAATTTCCTTTAATGTTTTGTTAAATTTCACTTAAACTACTCGAGAGTTATCTACACTAGCTGTCCCTAATTTGGATGTGATAGACTAGAGGGAAGGCAGCTTGTCAACACCACACACCGTCACAAAAAACCTACTCGGCTGAAAATACTATTACGTTCGGTGGCAGGATTCGAACTTGTAACTCGCAGAGTGCGAGTCAAGCTCTTTAGCCACTAGGCCATGCCAGGCCTCCTTTTAATGTAACGAAACTCTCCCGTTACTTTGATTTTTTTAATAAAAGAAAATCCTCTAGCTCGTGAATATTTCAGTTGCACAACTGAAAATATTTTTTTACCAACAGCAATGAGCAATATTGGGTACACTGTATCTTCCTATGATATAGTAATAATCACAGTTGTATTTCTCATATCCACATCTTAGCATTCGGAATCAATTATTTATCTTTTTATATGTTGCATTACTGTTGTGTTTCCTGTATATTAAGCTCATGTATATGATACAGCACCCATGATAACTTCATATCTAATGTCAGTGTGTGTGCAATACTACACAAACATATAACTATATAATACTATATACATTTCCATCGACATTGAATACAATTACACATGTTTATAGTATTCGACAGACTATTCAAAAACAGAGCATGTCCAGTGATGCTTCGGGCAATACATGTCTGACACACCCACTATGTCATGGGCACTGCTTGTTATTGATACCCTGGGACCTCTACATTCAGGCAAGTGCTCAGTCTCTGTTTCTGGGGGATAGAATGACAAACTGACATGAAAACATTTTCTTCCAGCTTTGTGCACTGCCAAGACTCTTCATGACCCCCAGTGGTTACAACAGCATAACTTTCCTTTTGGAGAAGCTATCATCTGGCCTATAGGTCCTATTTACCACTTACCAACACCTATTGTTTCTTTCTGCTGACAAGACAACCTCAATCGGTTGAATTCATATTCCATCAGCTATTCCAGTCTTCTTTGGAATGGCTATGGGTGCAACAGTTAGGTATGGGCTCATTTGCCCTGACTGGTAAGAAAATTGGTATTATATATCGATATTTCCCCAATTAATCTTAAGATAAGCAACCTGAAATTCACTAACTAATCCTCAGTCATTTACACATCAAAAGTAGGATTTGGACAATAGCTCTAGAGGGTCAATAACACAGTTCCACTTCCAGAGTTTGTAGCCAAATCGATATTGTCAACAAGGTTTTTTGCAGTATTGGCAAAAACCGACGTCCAGGAGAAGACTTCTTCCAGACCTTGCTACTTTCTCAGATTATTGCCCATTTTCAACATAAAGTCTGCGGACTTACAACGCTAGAAACCGGGTTTCGATACTCGTGGTGGGCAGAGCACAGATAACCCTTGTGTAGCTTTGTGCAGAATCAAAAACAAAACAAACAAATAAAGTCCTTCCTTTGCTCATAAAAACTTCATCTGAAAAATGTCATTTCTTTTGAAAGTTCAATATTTAGGAGTACAAAAGGAGGACAAAAACACATTAATAAAGAAAACTCTCCAAAAACAAATTATACAGTCCCTTCACCAAAGTGTCTATCTTACTCTGTGGTATTATCAGGTACACTGATAACCTTCAAGTAAGAATAGTAACTAAATTACCTGGAAATACATCAGACAACGTACCGCAGAGATAATATAAATTTCTTACCTGACCGAATTAAACAAAACAAATTAGACGTAATATAAAACATCAATGGTTTATTTGAGTAAGCATGTCAATTCAAAACTCTTCATAGGAAAGACGAGTGCACAAAACATTGGATAGCACTACTATTTAGATGTTGAGAGTTCTATCTCAAAAGATGATTTCCTGGATTTTCAGGACAAACAAAACTGAGTATCATAATAATAGAATTATATAAAGTTCCACAAACAAAAACAAATATAAATGGAAGTCAAATTGCTTACCCTGATAAAAACAAATATGATTTCCTATACGGGATAACAGAAATACTTTTGCCACAATTTTCCAACCGAAGTATTTTTCTCAGGAAAACTACTTTGAGCGTATTACAAACTGTATAACATTTATTAGCATAATGTTAGTTTATAGTGGTAATTTCGCGTTCTCTCACATTTCTTTCTGAAATTTACCAAATTTTAATCTTGTTTGTCTGTTGTTAAGAATAAAACTATATAATGGGCAATCTGTGTTCTACACATTGTGGGTATCGAAATCCGACTTTTAACGTTATAAGGCCCGCTGAGCCACCGGGAACCTGAAATATAGTATTTTTCATATATTTTCAATCTGTAATGGCATTTGCTTTGCAATCTGCGGGTCGCGGGTTAGAATCCCCATCCTTCTAAACATGATCATCCTTCAGCCTTGGAGGCTTTATAATGTGACGGTCAATCCCACTATTCGTTGGTAAAAGAGTAGTTCATGAGTTGGCTGTGGATGGTGATAACTAGCTACCTTCCCTCTAGTCTTTCACTGCTAAATTAGAGACGGCTAGCGCAGATAGCCCTCGTGTAGCTTTGCGAGAAATTCAAAACAAGCAAACAAACCATCTGTAATGTACAATACTATTTTGTATTCAGCATTTATAATTTCAGACCATCTTCATTGTTCTAAATAATTATTAATATCTTCTACAGCAGTAACAGTTTCCGTCAGTGTGTGGACGTTGGTATCCATTTCACTCGAAAGGTTCTTCGCCATCTGTCGGCCATTTCGATCTCGCCAGTGGCAAACTATTTCTCATTCTTACAAAGTCATCATGTGCATATGGATGATATCCTTGCTGACAATGCTGCCTATTGCACTTTTAAGCCGTCTTTTTCCCACCAGGACACCAGGCAAGTGCAAGAGTGAGAAATAATATATCTATACTTCGAAATTTCTTAATGAATAGCTGAAAACAAAATATTGAAATTTTATAAAACAAAAGACAATATTCTGCAGTGTCTGCTCTAGCGCTAAAATTATTATCTTATTATTAGTTCTAAATATATTTGGAAAGTATTGCATCTTTTCCCTTTATTTTACGAAGAGTTTGATGAAAATGAAATTCAAATCGAAATGCAGGAAAGCGCCATGAAGACATAGTAAAAGCAAAAGTACACGAAGTATTAAAATCTGATTACTCCTTAAGTATTTTATTTCAATTCCATTATATTGAATCGTATAATATATTTGGGTTAAATTAATAATAAAACAAACTACAAAATATTTTAATTATTTAGTTACAAATTACAGCATTTACAATAAGGAAGATTTGTTTTTAGAACAGGTACGTTGTTTCGATCACTGGTGCGATCATTCTCAAGTACACAAGTATGAGAATGATTGAAACGTCGCACTTGTTCTAAAAATAAACCTTCGTTACTGTAAAAGCTATAACTTGTAATAAAACAATACTTAATTAGTACGTAAACTCAAAATGAAACTATTAAAATATTATAATGCTCTAGCAACATGTAATTTAGATCAATAATTGCTGTTTATTTGATGTATTTTGAATTACGTTTGTGAATGACATCTAAGAACGAATCTGTTTTCGTACATTTGAGATATTTACACATTTGTTACTTTTATTCAAACTTAATATCAAAACAAACCAAAACAGGAAAAATGTGTAAAATTCTGGGTAATAAATAATTTACACGTAAGACGAAAACTGGAATACAAAGATAACAACAATACTTCACAAAAAAAACTAAATATACACATATAAGTGACTTTTCATGATAACACTAGCGTACTCTAGTGGTTAAAGTGTTCGACTAGCATTCGGGATCAAAACCCGGTGCTAAACGCGTTCGCGCTTTTAGCTAAGGAGGGGAAGGGGTTATAATGTTATAGTTAATCCTACTATTCATTGGTATAAGAGTTGCCTAAGAGCTGGTGATGGATGCTGTCTGCCAGTTGTCTTCCTTTCTTCGACAGTAAATAATTAGAAACGGCGGCAGATAGCTTTACTAGTTTTGCCCTAAACAAACAATGATAACATGATTTTTGAAAGTAAAACAACAATTCGTCAATAATATTGTTTTTAAGAAGAAGACTTAAAGATGTAGGTGTAACATTTATTAATATGGTATAGTAGCTTACAGCAAACTAAAAAAAAAGTTTCAAATAAAATATTATCAAATTTTGTTGTTTACAGGTGATTCTGTATCATGGTGCCATCTAGTTACAGATATAAGAGATTAAGTATACTAGAACAACGTAATGTTGTTCAGTACTTATATTTATTAATTTTTTATACAGATCAATAAAGATCGTACAGTATAAAGTTTTGTGTGATGACTGTTTGTCACGTTTTTGTATTTGCTTTAGTGTATCTGGTTTAAATAAGGGATGTTGAGGAGAAGGTTTGCGAATCGATCATTTTTGAAATTGTGTTTGTTTTAGTCAAAGACAAACTTGTCAAACACAATACTGATATCCCCCCAAAAAAATAATGATAATTTTTACTAACGCAAAATATGATGATCTGCTTTTGAAGGATTATCTCTTATTTCTCGATCGAATAAATACTGTTGAATGTTTTAATATTTCAAGTTTAATACATTGCTAAAGAAGAAACTTATTTGAATTCATGGCATGTTTTATTTTTTCATGTAAATTGAATTGCATGTGAATTTCAGAAAAATATAAGTGTCGAGAAAAATGGCCCAATATGACGTCAGAAAGAGCCTTCAACCTTTACCTAGACGCTTTTCTGCTGGTTGTTCCACTTGTTGCCATGAGTCTGACTTACACCTGTATAATTAATACCTTGTACCGTGGAGTCAAGTTCGGGGAATTAAATCCTGGTGAGTTACGATCACGATATGCTTCACAGTAACCAACTAATAAACGTACTACTCCGTCCATTGTTGACAAATATACAAATTTGAATGTTTTATCAAATGAGATTTACTTTCAGAAAACAAACTAAATTTGTTAAATGTTTCTTCAGAATAACACGTATATTCGACGAAAAAGGACAGGCTGTTCTTTATATATTCCTAACCTATGTATTGTTAGTTTCTCTTCAGTGAATACAAGAACTTCAGTTTGGTAGTTTGATGTCTGCCAGTAAAGATAAAATAGGATGTTCATATTGATGAGATGCAAATGAATTAGAAAACATCTTAATATTTTAGTTTGGTAGCAGGTCATCTTTGTTTCTTTGGTAACTATTTTGTGTTCTATTTCTTTAAAATACACATTTTCTTGTTACTGATATTACACATTAAAATATGCTTAATTCATAATTCTGAAATTCAATGGATTTTACGTACTGAAGGTTAACATTTGCATTTTTTACTAACGTTTATCTGCACGTCTGACAAGTCATGTAGATTTTGGTCTTATTATGTTGAAGAATAAACAGGAGTATTTTCTTTTCTACTAATTTGAATGCCCCCAGTGGCACAGTGGTATGTCTGCAGACTTACAACGCTAGAAACCGGGTTTCGATACCCGTGGTGGGTAACTTTGTGCTTACTTACAAACTTATATGAAGATATAACTTAACGAGCACCAACTCCTTAAAATTTTATTTAACGACCTGTTTATATAACTTATCGAGGAACCATCCATTATCCAGCTTGTAAGTGAACCAGTCAAATTAGAAGCTTATTCATAAAAAGGTTTTATAAACGAACCATTTTTCTGTGGATTATTTTTCTTTTTTTCTTCTTAAATAACTGAGCTGTTATTATCCGTAGAAATGTGTGTTTTAATACAAAGTGAAAGTTTTGTTTGATTATCAGACGTTAAACCTACCAAAGGTCACTCATGTCTACCAGGGAAGAAACATTTACTAACCAGAAGCAGAGTGGTTCGGCAAAGAGACCACGCAAATCGTTCTACAACAGAAACAATTCACCTTAAAAATATTGAAAGTTTACCAATGGACAACCTTCGACCAAGAAATGATGCAAAGACTTCAACGTTTCGATGCCTCTTCCAGCAAGAGACAACAAAAGGAAGACAGATTTTGTGTCCGAAAGCCAGTATGAAGAATGTCCAAGAAGACAAACGAAAAGTGGTTCAGATGTTATTCGTTGTCGTCTTGGAATTTTTCGTTTGTTGGACGCCCCTTTACGTCATTAACACTTGGTCTATCTACGATCAACACAGTCTGTACCGAATTGTTGGGCCTAATACGATCTCAGCAATCCAACTACTCGCCTACACTTCTTCATGCTGTAACCCTATCACATACTGTTTTATGCACAAAAAATTTCGATATGCCTTTCTGGCTTTCTTTGGATTTAGTATAACCAAAGCCCCAAGTTTCAGTCGTGCTAGTGATCTTTCTAGCTTTTTCAACTAACAGGCCACAGAAAAATTTATGTTTTATGTATAAGTATATTTTTAAGTTTATTTGTAAGGTCTTATTATTAATTAAGTTTTAACGGTTAAGATCTTTATTAAATATATGTTATTCTTGTGACTTTTCAAAAGAGACATTTCATTACACTTTTTTTTACCTGTTCTTGTTGAGAGTTGCTTGCTGAATCCACTGTTTTAGAAGATAAGCGATGCGAGAACGAAAATATAAATAAAAACTAAAAATAAACAGAAAAATACTGAAAGGCTTGAATTTACTATTCTAATTTTGAAGAATATAACATGGATATGCTATCTCCATTCTTATATACTAAAAAGTCAATAGATGGCGGCAATAGCAAAACGACTCAATGGTTAGGTTTTTACATAACTGTATGGTTAAACTCCTTGGACAGTATTACTGCACTGAAGAATACGCCCACTGAAAAAAACATAATCTAATACTTTGTCGCTGCTTCCTATATCTTCAAAAATTTAAATATTATTTCATAAATTAGCTACATTAAGTGGATGTGTATACGGAACAGAGCGACTAACATTTTATTCTTCAAAAATATTATTTTCTGGTTAGCATAATTAACTTTCATTCTTATTATAAACACGATATAGTATCTTCATAAGAGTAAAAGCATTGAGTAATGTTTTTGTGTTATATTCGATTGAAATTTACCAAGGTGTGAAAAAATGTTCTATAAGAGTAATAAATTAATTATCAGTCTAATGTAATACAAAAAATAAAGATTAAATAAACAAACGATTTGAACAGAAACTGTACACATAAATTACTTCCATAAAACAGAAAAATACATATTGCTTTAAAGCAAACATTTTTTTTGTTCTTATATAGAGTTAGATTTCACAAAAAGTGTTTAATAACAGTAAAAAATACATATTAAAAAAAATTAGATGTCTGTAATGATATCAGAAAAATTCTTGTACCAAAGTGAATTTAGTAAACACTAATTAATTTGGGTCAATAAAACATATATTTCTGTTGTTTCAAGATGGATATTAACTTTTTTCTTTATAACTTATCTCTCTAGATGTTTTGGAACGAATAGACAACCAACTTATATGACGACTCACGTAGTGTCATCTACCGTAATATTTGATAAGCATTTCAGGTATTCAGATTTTGCATTAGAGAAAGGGAGTGGTCAAACTTTGGATTATAAATCTTTTGAACCAATACAGGATGGGAAAGTTTATTATTGAATTTTATTAAAAACCTAATGCTTTTTCAAAGTCAAAGAATATTGAAATGGATTCAATTTAAAAATAAGAGAGAAATAAATAGGAACATTTGAATCTTTGAACATTATGAAGTTTGTTTTATTGAATGCTTTAAAACTAAAAATATATTACTTATATTTATAAACATTATCAAGCTATTTAAGTGTTTATGTATTGTGTTGAGGTTTTCATAAGCATTATAAGGCATTCTTTCTTTCTTCATTTCACTGACGGTTTCTCTGACCTCTGTAGTAACCATCACTGACTCACACTTTTTTTTTATTCTCATCATTGGTAATTATTCTTCAGAATGTTTACCTTCAGTTTGTATCCTTGTATTACACTGTATCGTTGCCACGGCAACGTAATCTGTTCGAACAGAAAAATACGACAACTTTGAAGAGCAGCAGGAGTTGGAAAAGTGTGAAATCTTGAAGAACAAAGAAACTGTGTGCATATTAAAGCCTAAATATCGGTAATGGAAGGCACTGAGACTTAAGATGACAAATGGGTGTGTTGAAGACTGGATTTCTTGTCGATAACTAAAATATTTTCCCTTAACAACGAATGTCCCTCTGTCTCACTTTCTTTACAGAAACCATATTTTAGGGTGAGCGAAAAGCTTAGAGCAATGCTTCTAGTAGTTGTGCTATCCTATTCTTTATCCTAAACCGCAGACTAATTCAAAAAATGAGCATAACTTGGTATATTACAGTTTGCCCCTGAAGAAGAAAGGTCCACCTTTCGAAAGCGCTCGGGTTGTAGGGTTTTTATTCATTTCTATCAAGACTTATTGAACTTACGTGTTTTTCTAACATCATGAATTGGTATATTACATAATGTTTTTTTTTACTCTATTATTTTATAATAAGTTTGATTTTATGATAATTCGAAGCGTCAATTAACCGAAGCCATAATTTCAGTTGCATATCAAAAGTAAGACTTTTATTAACAGTAACGTACAATCAAAATAATATTATAACTAAATGACTGACTGAATTTCTTATATATTGGTTTCAGTAAGCTGTAATATACAAAGACACACTCACTAGTCCTATATAAAATGACGTATTCCGCAATTGGATAAGTTCAGATTTTGCTTTCGCAATCTAAATTTATTTTAAAGTTCCTATAGTGTTATAAACAGGTTAGTTCAAAGTATGCATTTTGAAATACAAAAAAAAAGTTTTTCTTTGTAATAATTTATTTTTAAACGCAAGAAAAAAGGCATCAATAAATGACTACAGCTAGAAGAAAGTCAATGTTATCTGACATTGCGTAAACCTAAAAAAATAATGTTTATGGTGGTTCACGAGAAAGAACAAAAACAATAACAAATATCAGACTTTCTTTTTATATTGTTTGTAAGTACGCTAGAATTATGGTAAATGTTATCATTTTCACTGATGCTATCCTATATTGATAAAACCAGGGTGTCCGAAAATATTGGTAACATAGGTGATTTGAATCTTTTCTTAATTTCTAACACATAACTGATTATGGCTCTGTCAAAGCATGAGAAGGTCGAGTTAATCCTGCTGTTAATGAAAACTTGTTTCGAATTACTAGGGCAGCATGTGGAACACCTTCTGTAAAACTTGTTGAAGTGCCTGTGGTTCCAGACTTTTCAGACACTCTTTATTACGGGAAAATTAATTGTGTAAAATATCAGGACTCCAAGCTGTCCAAGCGATAGATAACGTGACATTATCATTGGATTTGGCTAGCGTCAAATCATTTTATGGAGTAAGTAAGAAACATAAACGACTACAAACCGAGTGCTTAATATTTGGTTATAGTTACACCATGTATTACCTATGTTATTGTACTTCTCATATTTTCGCACATAAGTTTTTACATGTATTCAGTTAAAAAGAAATGCTGTGAAAAGAAAAACGCTACCACTATTGCAACAATGAAACGACTTTGACGAAGAATCATCCTTTTTTTTTATCAATGTCTTCTAATTAAAGCAAGCGACTTCTATAGACCAAGAAGTTAGAAGTATTAAACAAATTAAGCCTTAAGAACTAGCCGGAACGAATAAGCGATAATAAGATGTGATAAGGATAATAGTATTAATAAAACTTAAATAAAGGAGAAAAACTTGTGTAAAACTATAGTAAGTTTATGATTTCTGTCCATTAAATCGTATGATGTTGGACAAATTCTGTTATATCTAATAAGCCGTGAGTAGTACAATTTATTTTAAATACTTGTATTATGAAGTTAAAATTTATAATTTCAAAATTAAGAGTGTTTCATAGATTA